AATTTCTTGTTGTTACTTCTACTCTTACATTTCTGCAGAAGCTCTTTAGCTGCAAGGTGGGCCTCTAGCAACCTGTGAAGATGAATGAGGTTAATCTTACTTTGAGCTGCCCTTATAGCCTGTGAGGCTGCTAAAGGTGGTTGTCAGCTGGTTTGCATCACTGCTCCCATGGAGTAGTGGTTGCTCAGCTGGTTACACAGTGTCCACCCCCAAGTAGCTCAGGCCTAGCCTAAAACATGACTTTCTCTGAGAAATGGTGAACTAAATACTTTCAAAGGCGGTGATCCATTCTAGCAGCTCAGGATTGGGATTTTGGCATCCTCACTTTGAGTATAAATGAAGATTTACCTACCCCTACATAATGAGCCTGCTGCTCCCCATTCCTACCTTTCCTCTCTGAGCAATGAGGCCATGGCAGGAGGAGATGCCATGTAAGTGCTGTGGTGTTGTTGGCTGCCAAACAACTGTTCCCTATCTCCCCAGGAGTAAAAAGTCCACAGTGTGTATATTATATTTTGGGGGATTTGGCTATCAAGTTATTTTTCTGGACATATTTTAGCCATGTGTTTGCTGTTCCACTGACTGCTTGTGGGAGCAGCAACTCCGTGAAGAAAAACTGTTCCTCTGTGGAGACCTGTGTCTATAGAGAGGGCTCTTCCCAGTCAAAAGTGCTGCTTAGCAAAATATTTTTGGGTTTGCAGAACCACGTTAGTTTTCTTAATAATAATTATGTATTATGCAAGGCAAATTGTCTTCAGGAACCTGTTCAGCTTCATAGTCTATTATGCTTGACTGGCACATCTTCAATCACTTTACTTTTATCTGATTTGCACCTTCATTTAAACACGGTAAACAATTCTGTTGTGCTCAGAAGTAAAATTCAGCTTTTCCACAGTTTTATTTGCTTCACAGAGCGGGGAAAAGACAGGAAGTTCTGCTGAGTGAAGTGACAGCTGATGTAGTAGTTGGTTGTCACAGGAGAGCCTCACCGAATGTAGCACTAAACCCAGACACTGAATTACTACTAGAAATTAGCAAACTGATAATTCTGATTAAGTGCCTTCTTTAGACTTAAAATGAGATTAATGATAGAGTATAGGAGTTTGCATTTCACAGGCAACGCTTTAAGCTATGCATTCTCTCAGGCAGAGACCACTGCTTTAGTTACAGGAGCTTGTATTTGATAAATTCTCTTCCAAATCAGAAGCAAGATTTCTTTTGTTTTCAAAGGAATTCTTATGTACTTAGAACTTCAATATGCCATTTGGGCCACATAAACGTATGTTGCCCAGATGTTTAATAACCCTCTTTCAATGTGCTTTGCTGACAATAAAAGAATAATGGATGTTCCTACGTAAGTATACATGTATTCATGAAATACAGTATCTTTTCCTGTCTCTGAGAATCAGGCAGATGATTTTTTTGGTTGAATTCTTCTAGTTTTAAATAAATTCAATTATACCATTATTATCCTTAAGAAAACAAGCATCATAGGTGCTATGACATACAGTAAAGTGCTAGAGCAAAGGATCATTGCAAAAATGCTTGAAATTTTTTTTAACCTGTTTATTATGTTGTGCAGTTCTATCTATTGGGCTTTTTAGGGAGATACATGTTTTACAGATTCCTCTTTTAGAATTCTAATTTAATTCACTTATTTAAAAGGTTGTCTTTGGACGCTGGGAAACGAGCAATGCAAAAGCTGTTGGCAACTGTGGTTTGATATGTAACGATTTCTTAAGCAGTCCAGGATGCCTGTGGTATGGTTCCATGCCATGCAGAGAGTAAACTCTCAGCCCTCCTGCTTTCTCTCCAAGGCTGAATGAAGGCTGCTGGGATGGTGCCGGGATGCCTTTTTGCTCTGGGGAGCCTTGGAGGAGCTGATGTCATCTGCTGGGATGTCATCTATGGCTGGGGCAAAAGTGCTCTCCTGGATATGATGTAAAAAGGGGGCACTGAAGCATGTGGTCTATAAGGAGCTGAAACATTGAGACTGAAATATCTGTGGGCACAGTGTACTCACCTGTCCTTGCTTTAAGTTAGGCAACTTGGGTACCAGAAACAGTTTGGCTGTGGCAGACAGGATCTCAGCACAGAGCAGCTGCAGTGTTCTGGGGTAGTGAGTCAAATCTGTATTATTCTCTGTGAGCATAGGACAGCCACCAGCTTGACATTAGACTGATAAGTTTATTCTATACTGAAAGCATAAATGAACGGTATGAACATATGCTACCTCATTTTGTTTTTCCTTGGTTGATTCCTAGAGTGTTCATCTAAGTTCTTTCTCTTACACAGGACATACAATTGTAAGGAAGACAAAATATCTGAAGAAGTAATGTGTAGAGGTAATCTTCAAACGAGAAAGATATTCTTTATCAAACTTAAAGTAAAAGCAATGGAAGTTTAAACGTTTTAGGCCTCAAAAACAACACTATCCATTATTTTGCCAGGCCTAGGAAACCAAATACAAACTGTTTATTATTTCAACAGGTTTCTCCTTTTCCTAACTGGGATTTACCAAACTTTAAATTGCAATAGTTGTGGTGTGTTCTTATGAAGTAATTTATACTTACTAATTTGGCTGCCAAATTAGATTTCTCGAATTTCTGAAATTTCTGGAAATTTCATTCTGGTATCAATATTTGCCCTTCCTTGGGGGAAAAAAAAAGAATATACATGCACTGAACTATAATCCATTATACAGCCTATTCAAGCTGTTATTTTTATACTGTACCACAAAGCATCTGAAAACAATATTATGTATTTTGGCAAATAATCTGTTTATCAGCCATTTCTATTAACTGCAAGTGTGCAGTGAGATGGTACAGCAGTGGTTTACTATATCATCAAAATAGAAAAAGTTTGAGTGTACATGTTAATCTAAGTTATAGGAATTAAAAAAAACAAACAAACAAAAAAAAAACACCAAAAAACAGCTCTGTGCAAAGTACTTTAAAATGCAGTGAACTTCTAGTTACATTGACAATACCCATTCCTTACATAGTTGAATCTGGTTAGAAGCTGTTCCCTGTGTAATAAATGTGACACTACAGGTGCAACATTGACAGCAGTGATCATTAAGGCTCTGTTCTGATGATGATTTATTTCCCTGTGCCTACCTCCCCTCCACCCCCTCATCTCCCAGTCCCTCCTCCCACAACACACTTTTTTTTTTTTTTATACAAAATGGAAAGTTAATTTGCTCCAGAGTATTCAGGAAGAAAATTTTAAGGTAAAAGGCTTTAATCTCAAAGTAATGAAATGTAGATTCATAGCAATAGCAATACCTGGTGCTTACAAAGCTGTTTTAATATTTTTAATATTATTTTTTTTTGGTGTGGCAGAATAAACCAGTATCTATAAACACTTTACAACAGGTAGCACACAGAGAAAAGAGTGAGATTGGGTCTCAGCAGTCTTTGTAAATTAGAGGAAGAACAATCATCTCTATTTTTGAGATTCAGACAGTGAGGCACAGAAAATGTAAATGCCTTGCTCAAAAACACACAGTGAACCAGTGGTAGACTTCAGGTCTGCTGACTCCCTGGCCACCAATTTATTTGCTGGCCCATTCTGTCCTCTTAAACAACTAAGAGAAGATCTTCTGAGATACACAACATGGGCCTAGTATTGTAGGAGAATTTGTGTCAAGTGCACACAGCCTGATTCTGCACCACTTTTTGGCATCTGTAGTCATGTTTACTTTGTAAAGAGGACCTAAAATGCCCTCAAATAAAAACCAATTCAATGTAAGTGACTAATGTACGTAGTTTAATAATCAGGCTCACAGCAACCACTTCGTGGTGTGCTGAGACTAGAATTAACCAACTTTTATTTGCTAATGAATTAAGGCTGATTCCTGCTTATATTAAGGCTTCTGTATCCTGCTATGCCTCAGTGTAAGTGAGACTCAGGCTATTGAAAAAATCAACCTTTCAGTTCCCATTGAAGTCAGTAATTTTAGCGGCCTTAAATGAATAAAATAACCAGAACGAAACAACCTGTCTCTATACTACAGAACATTTACAAAAGAATCGTAAAAGGACCTAAAAGTAACCTGAGGGAAAACTAATTATATGTTTGTTGAAGTAACCAGTTAGATACACTTGTTGGCTGGTCTTGAAAATGGAGAACTGTTAACATGATAACACACCTTTGTATGAAGATAACTGGATTGATGTTCAGTGGTTATGAGTATGTCCAGATAAATTGTAGATGCTTATGAATGCTGGAGATCAGTCATCTCGTTATACTACTACAATGAAATAGAAATAGACTTATTTGGTATTTAAGTGCTAGACATACAGGGCATAGTTTGCATAAAGCTAGTGTGCATTATATTCAGAGGAGTAGGAAGGTGACCAGTAAAGGCTCAGTAAAATGCTACATGATCACAAATACCTCCTATTGTTATTGTTATTAAAAGCTATAATGTTTTGCTTTCTTAGGAGTTCTCCAACTTTGCTCTCTGTAGCCAAGCATTATTTTAGAAATTCTCTCCAAAACTCTATTCATAACAGTTTTGGTTTTAAAAGCTTCATTTTAGACAACAGTTTAACATTTGTTGGCTGAGATTAAGACAATCCTTGCCCTATTCAAATTTAAGGCCTGGGTCCCTGTGGTTTGCAGCACTTTTAAACTCACTTTTACTTCCAGTTAGAAGTAGATTTATTTTTTAAAGCTAATATGGAATTTGTTTGTGTATATTAAAATAATTCCCTAGGCATCAGCGCAGCTATGATCATTACCCAGCTGAGGATTCGGTCACTGAAATGTAGCTCCAGTGGCTGGTAAATCTGTTTTGTAGACAAATAACAGCTGGATCATATATGATGTTATATTTAGTTTCATTGGCAATTCAGAAAATATTTAATAATAACTTTCATTGCTTCTATTCCCCATTTTTGTATACAAATAAATCATCTTTTCTAAAACATTCTTTTTAAGGCTTGTATTCATAGTCATATCAAAAGTGTTTGCTATTGGAGCCATCTTTCAGGTTGCTTTCTTTAGAGTTATCTGTATTATGAAATTCTACAACATTCTAAACTTTTCTGGTCATTAGCAACCCTGCACTTGAGTAAACAATCACGTTTTAAAAGTATAAGTTATAATATCTTCTTGTCCAAAACTAAGGCAGGATGAACAAAAGCAATGAGCTCATCTGATCCTCACCTAGCAAGCCTTGATTTTAATCTATTCAAAATACAAAGCTTGAGAGAGGTTGTTGTCACAATGATTATTGCACTTTCTCAATGTCATGCTATAGGATTAGTTTTTCCTTTAGCAAGATGTAATTTCTTTCCCTGTAGACCACACAAAGTTATTGTACTCTGAAAAGAAAAATGCACTTAGAGGGTTATGAAGTTATGACCTAGACAAAAGGACACAAAACCAAATTACCTCTCTATGATTCAGCTGTGTCATGATCTAATATTGTTTCAGAATTATTATTCTGTTATTTAGGTTGGCATCATCTTCTGAACACATGATATGCTCTTTGGCATGCTACAAATTCAGCAGGTGCACTGTCTTCTGGGCTTTACAGCTTCTTCTGATGAATGTACCACATTTGGAACAAAACCACTCTTGACACCTTCCCATCCATCTTGTATGGAGATTTCTCCTTTTTTTACAAGTTCATAGATGTCTCGTGTAAGAATTGTAAAGGACTCTTCAACATTCGTGGCATCTTTTGCTGAAGTTTCTATGTATTTCATACCACAGTCAGCCGACAGTTTTTCAGCTTCTTCTCTTGTAACCTCACGCTGTGACACTAAGTCACATTTATGTCCTACCAACAAGAACACAATCTGGAAGGGCTGCACGTGCATTTTTGCTTCTTCTAGCCAGTCTTTCACATGTTCAAAAGATCGACGACTTGTGATGTCAAACACTAGTAAACCACCCACAGAATTGCGATAATAAGAGCGTGTTATTGATCTGTGAAGAATAAAAAAGAGATAGGAAAATTAAAATATGTTTTCACTTTATTCCTAAATAGATTACTGTTCCATGTGACAATGTGTTATCTACTATAAGTTTTATGAAATATATTTGTTTTTTTAAAATGAATTGGGATTTATGAATTTACCTTCTACACACAAAAATGTTCCATTTAATTTTTTTTTCTTACAATCAAAATTTGCTTTCTAAACATCCTTGAAACCACATGAAGTTTGAATGCTGAATTATTCCACAAAATACTGTTTATTACCTAACTCTGGCACAAGTTCACAGAGTAATATATATGTGTATTTATTTATGAAATACTTGTTGGTGATAAAGTCTTGAGTCCTTCAGTTTTATACAAACATGCATTTCACTTTGCTCTAATCAATTATTCCCAGCTGAAATACGTAGGCGGATGTTGAGAAACTGAGTCTTGCCAATGTACAAGTGTATCCTTTTGGATTCCTTGCAGAAAAAAAACTATTTGATAGCAAACTTTGTACAGGTAATCATAATTCTTTGCACTTGCAGAAGTCAACAGGTAACAGACTAAGAAAGGAAACTCCCTAAACAAACCCATCAAAAAGTTACAGAGCTGGGCAAACACACACTTGTGACAGCATTGGCAAGAACTCCTCTGTCTCAAGCATCTCTCTCACACAGAGACTCAAAAGCTCTCTGTAATTGCATTTACTCTCTTTTGGCATGAGACTTGAAGGACTGGCAACAGAATTTTCTACTTTTGAGCCCTCTATGTCCCCGAGCATTATCTCAAAGAATTTTGGAAATTCTCTGGTTGAAAAGACTTTTAATACACTCTAAAAGAAGAAAAAGTGTTTGTTAGGGTGTAGAGAGAAAGATATATGGACTAAAAAATAACTGTAAGTCTTTAATCATGAGTAATAGGGGAGGATGGAGAAGATGAGAAGAGACATTGTAAAGGAAGTGTCAACCTACTGAGGAGTGGATGCAACCACTCCTTCCTAGCATAAATATATAGCTAGTGTAGATACAAGCATTCTCCAACTGAAATGAGATGCACAATCTCTGTCAACAGTCATTATATTAAATTATAATTGAGCCAAGAATTAATTGCATTTTATCTTAAGATAATGAAGAGGGTGCAGCCTCAAAACTTTTGGAATCAGGATGAACTGTACAGAGTAACATATCTTTCCATAACTATAGCTCCCTCTGATTTTTAGTTCATCACATTTCATGTAGTGTTTCATAACAGTATGAACATAGAGGTATAGGCAGCAGCAGTAGTCATATTACATGATAGGTAAGTGCACCTATCTGTAACCTAGACAGGGGTTAGGTTTCTTGGCATATCTAAATTCATTTAGCCTCAGCAAAAGGCATCTGAAATGGTTTTATTTAGATAACAGGGAGGGACTATTTGTCAGATTAATTCAAATAGTATAAATATGAAAATGACACATGGTTTTGCAAAATTATTTAGGACCATAAATGCACAATGTGTCACATTTTGTGAAGTACTAAAGATACCATAAAGATCTGTGTCAGGTTTTTGTAGGCATTTTTTTTTTGCCGTAGAGCAGTTGCAAACACAAATGAGTACGTTAAAATAATTCAGGTGGTTCTAGAAAGAGTGGAAGTGGGTGACAAAAATGGGATTTGATTTGGAGAAGTGGAAGCTAATAGAACCTATTTTCATTTTTAAAGTGTCTTGAAAACAGTTACACAAAGAAATGCATTAGCCAGGGAAGAAGGCAGGTTAGTATTGAAAATGCAGTGCATCCTTAACCAAGCATCTCTATGCAGAATGAAGTTATATACTGTATGTATGAAGTGGAGCACTGAAAATCAGCCCTCAGTGTGTTATAGGGTGCTTATACACAGCAGTGAGCACCCCTATCTGCGATAACGCACTGCTGCAGAGATGCTAATTTACACTAATTGATTATCTAAGCTGTTATATTTAATGGTGTGTATGTATTGCTTGTAATGGAGAGGATTAAAAATGTCTGTAACTTTCGGCTGCACAACACAGAAACTGGGTGAATATATGGGAGAGACAGCAGTAATTTCTTCTCTATTTTTGGTATGTATAATTGAAAATCAGTTTTCTTATTGCTTATCATCTGAGAAAAGGGTAACATTTGTTAAAACATGGTCTACAAATATTCAAATAATTTTACTATTAAAGTGAGTTACTATTTGCAGTTAATATTTTAAAATGAAGTATTCCTGACAATTGAGCTGAAATTTTGAAGCAGAAAGTTTAGGCCATCAAACTGGTGAAAACGGCTGAGCACATGAATGTGGTAAGTTGTTTAACAGTATCTGCACCATCTTACAGATGCAAAATCTTTTACTTATATATGACAACGCAGGACAATGCAAAGACTCTATCAGAGACAAGATTGTAGCAGGATGCTCCATCTCTCAATACGCCTGCCTCAGTTCCCTTTTATGATTCAACTGCTTTTTGTCTCTCATTTTGCAGTCCCTGGCCTGCAGTGAAAGGTTCTCATGAGAAAGGAAATGGCCTAGCCAACTCTGAGCTGGTAGAACTTTGAAAGGTATAAACAGAGAGCCAAGTGGATGTGCATAACACCAGCTGCTCTCCAGTGTTGAAGAACGTGGAGCTCAGCCCAGCCACAACTAGGTCTGAAACCGAGATAAAGTAATAATGCATAGATTAACAACAGAGTTTGTTTGGTGAGAACAAGACCTTCATGGTTTTTCCTACTGTTTTCCTTTTATTCTCCAATGAGAGATGTCAGAGGTATGGCTAATGGTTAAATGACAGCAGTAAATCCACTTTATTCTATAAAAGCTTGGTCCCATTTTTGATTGGAGAGATCTCCGTACGCTTTCCCTGGGAAGTTGCTGGACTTTCTCCCCTCTAGCTGGAACACCTGCCACAGACTTATTCTCAGGAGTTGTGTCCAACCAAGGACACTGGCTGTGGCCTGACATGGGTGAGAAACACTACTCATTCACTGTCTTTTTTAGCAAACTTAACATTAAGTCATCTTCATTATTAAGTTGAAGATTGTAAGATCCTTTAAAGATGATGGTTCATATTTTAGGCCTAGTATGGTATTTGGTAATAAGTAAGTTGCCAGCATTTTAGTGGTTAACCTTTGTTGTTTGATGTAATTATAAGTAGTAAAATTTACTGCTATTATACC